TCTAGTCAGGCTTACTGTCTCTAAAACACCATCGCTGATTCTTTTTCTGGAAAGCCTTTTCTTCCATTTTCTTTGCTAATATTATCCATTGAATCCTTTAAAACCTAGTTTATTAGTCATATACCCCAGCAAACTCTGGATCCCCAGTTAACTCTATCCCAAAGAAATACAATTAAATTAATTTGCATATTCTGTTTTGTTTTACTTTGCAAATGTTCTTAAATTCACAGAATCATAGCTAGAGAGCTGAAAAGGGTTCTAGAGGCATTAGACTCTTTTTCTATGATTAAATAGCAGAATGGATTCATAATTTCATCATTCAACAAGCAATTATTGAGTGCTGACTATATGCCAAGCACTGATAAACTAGGTGCTGGGGATACAACAAAAACAATCCCATCAAAATAAGTACTCCTTCCAACAGTGCATTTCACAACATATTTACGTATTCCATCTCAACTATGTGACTCTTGCTTACCTGGCCTTCTCAATGTATTTGATGTCTTCTTCTTGTTCTTTTAACATGTAACTGCCATTATACCATCATGGTCATCTATTTATTATTGACCATTCTCAATACATGATCAACTTACTTTTCCAAATCAGAAATTTCTTGGATCCTATCTTTTATATCACTTCTCATACAGAAATTATCATTGGTTATATATTTCAGGCTGATCCCACCATATTTTTCTCCAATTACCTCTGGGTTTCCTGCATTTTGATGCTTACACTAATTATAAGGTACCACAATTAGTAGTCATATAGAATCATCCAAACAATACTGGTGTTAAAAAGATAGGGTCTGTGTTAAAGAAACAAATTAAGATTGTTGGTTGTACTATGTAATTTCTAATCTTTTCTCTTCTTCCTATCCAGAGGAGTGAGCATGATGCAGAAAAAAGAACACTCAAATTCTGAGTCAGAGAAACTGAGTGTGAATTCTGCCTCCGCTACTGACTATCTATATGACCTTGGGCAAGTTACTTAATCTCTTTGGGCCTCAATGTCCACATATGTAAAACCACATTGCAAAGTTTCCTTTTAACACTAGATTTATGCCCACCTGAAGTGTCTTTTCAAGATTAATATATCAGTGAACCAGCTCATTGGACATCCCCATCCAACTGCACATCCTAGACTGCACAGTAATAATGCAGGTCAAAGCATACTAGTTTCACTTTATTTTTTTCTGTTTCTTTTTTTGTTTTTTCCTTTTGGTCTGTTTCCTCTTCCACAATATGACTAATGTGGAAATATGTTTTACATGATTGCACATCTATAACCTATATCAAACTGCTTACCATCTTAAGGAGGGGGAAGGAATGGAGGGAGGGAGAAAATTTGGAACTCAAAATTTTTTTAAATGAATGTTAAAAATTGTCTTTAAATGTAATTCTAAAAATTAAATACTATTTAAAAAGAAAAAATATGGTATTATTTTTGCTTATGCTGTTAAATTACTAGAAGGAAGGCCCAACTTGGCAGAAATTGGGGAGAGATATGGAATAAAAGCTGAATACTTAATAAGGGATGGCAAGTATAAAAGTGATTGGAAAAAGTGGTTAGATCATGGAAAAAGACTGGTATCAATGGCCAAATTTTGCTAAAGAGTATTGGTTCAGTGGTAGTTGAGAGACAATCAAATGTAATTGTCTACGGAAAACAGAGCTCCCACTTGAAATACAGTGTTTGCCTATTTCTGCTAGGCTTGCTTGGACTTTTTGAACTTCCAAGTGAAGTTAACATGTATTATGTGCAGATGATCATTTCCAACTGGCATGAGAATGAATTGGTGAGGAGTTAGATATATACAAGGATGGAAGACAAAGTGCTGTGCTAGGTTGAGAAATGAGAGTTTTTAGATTCACATTCATCTTGGGAAAGGTATACAAACTGGAAGGCAACCAGAACAGCATGATCAGGATGTTGAAGGACCTTGAGATCACACATAGGAAGACTGAAGTAACTGGGGATGTTCAGCCTAGGGAAGAGAAGACTTAGATGGACAAATGAAAAAGTATTGGAAGGACTGTGAATAAGGGATCCGTAGTTTGTTGTAGACAGCAGAACCAGAGTCATGGATGGATGTTGGAAAGAGGCAAGTTTAAGAAAAAGACAAAACACAATAACCCCTTACTAATCCAAGCAGTGTCGGCTTCTCCTCACTGGAGTTCTTTGAGCAAAGGTTGAATGGACATTCATTATGAATGTTAGAGTTTGGAATTCTTATTCAGATTTCAGTTGGACTAGATGTCATCTGAAGTCCTTATCAACTTAGACTGTATTTTACTCTTCTATCTACTTGAAATGTACTGGACAAGTATGTTATGCATTTTCCTTAAAAAGTATCAGGAATATTAAAAGCACATGTTTCCCACGTAGGATTTAAAACATTTTAAAAAACAATTGGGACTTAAAAATTTACTCTCTTATTGTACCACCAGTCAGTCATATCAAATGATAGTATAACCCCAAATTAAACAGTCCTTCTTTTTATTGTACTTTTAAAAAATATGGAATCAAGGGACTGATAATTGTATGTCATCTTTGAGGGGATCTGTATGAGTTACTGAAAGAGAAAAGAAATTAGTTCCTGAAAAGAGGAGACAGTTAATTGTCAAGAAGAAAGAACATGTGAGAGACTTGAACAGTTAACCCTCTTGGAGAAAATGTTTGTGAGAGACTGACAGTTAACTGACATTGGAGAATGAGCCTGGTAGGGACTTGGAAAATTTACTGTCATCCTTGAAAGAGTCTGGAGTCATTTTGAAGAAAGTGAATGTAACATTTTCATTTCTGCTGAAAACTGAACTGAGTTAATTTTTACTCTTTAGAAGAGGAAGACACTTTTATGGAGAAGAAATTCTGAGGGGAATTTCTGAGGGAAACCAAGACATATTAACATCTATGCAAACTCAAACAAACCTAAGTGCTATATTCTTAGGAGAGAGGTGCAGTTAACTGCCAATTCTAAGAAAAATTGAGTATAATGACATTTTGAGAGGATATGAGTTAATTACATTTTTTAAGAAAATGAATTATCTGACTGCAGTCTCAATGTTTTGGAGGAGTCAGCAGCGATAGCCAATGGTGAGGGAATTCTAGTCAACAACTTCTTTTGCCTACTTTTCCAAGGCACAAAGACTCTGGCTGTGACTTTTCTCACAGGTGCTAAATGACTTCAACATTTATTCCTGCCCTTATATTATTTATTATCATTAACATGACATTGTTAAAATCAAACTGTGCATACCCTTTGATCCAATAATACCACTATTAGGTCTGTACCCTAAAGAGATCATTAAAAAGGTAAAAGAACCTACATATACAAAAATATTTCTAGCAGCTCTTTTTGTGATGGCAAAGAATTGGAAACTGGGGAATGGCTGAATAAGTTGTGGTACATGAATATAATGGAATACTATTGTGCTATAAGAAATGATGAACAGGTGGATTTCAGAAAAACCTGGAAAGACTTAGAATGAACTGATGCTGAGTGAAGTGAGCAGAACCAGGAAAACACTGTACACAGTACACAGTACACTGTGTGATGATCAACTACAAATGACTTAGCTCTTCTCAGCAACACAATGATGAAGACAATTCCAGAGGACTTGTGATGGAAAATGCTATCTACCTCCAAAGAACTAACAGAGTCTGAATGCAGGTGGAAGCATACTCTTTTCACTTTATTTTTTTCATGGATTTTTTCCCCTTTTTGCCTTTTTCTTCTTTCACAACATGACTAATATGGAAATACGTTTTACATGACTGCACATATATAACCTATTTCAAATTGCTTAACACTCACAGAGAAGGGAGGTGAGGAAGAGAGGGAGGGAGAAAATTTTGAACAAATTAAAAAAATGAATGTTAAAAATTATCTTTACATGTAATTAGAAAAAATTAAATACTATTTTTTTTAAAAATGGCATTGTTTTTGCATTTTCTTCATACCCTTAGCACTTAGCACAATGTCTTGCACATAACTTCATAAATGTTTGCTGATTTATACATTTACCTAAGCCTAGACATTTGCAGTCTGAGCCTCAGGCTAATTAATTAACTAGAGATTTTAAGAAATATCTGATATAATGTTAGATCATATTTACTAAGAACCCATTAAGAGAAAAAAGATGCATAAGGTAATAAGTCAGTAGCAGAATGAAGGAAGATGATGTTTGTCCAGAGAATACCTGAGAGGTTTTGGTCACACTCTATATCATAATACTTCCATATCTCCAAAAGAGCTCTCATCTATGGAACTGTTAGATATTACTATTAAATGTGTCAGCTATGACAGCTTTGCAAATACTTTAATTATTCAAGAAATGCTAAATAAAAGAACTAAGGGACTAACAAGAGAATAAATGAAGCATTTTTCTTCACTGAAAGGAATCCAAGTTCAATTTTCAAATAAATAGCCTACTTTGGAAGCCAAATGCAATAGTGAGCATTATTATAAAAATAATATTCAGCGTGACTGAACTTAAGAGGTAACATTATGCAGGGGAAAAAGCACTGGCTTTGAAGTAGGATGATGTGAGTTCGGATTCTAGCTTGGTTACTTAATAATCATGTGTCTTTGAGGACCTACTGGAGCCTCGGTTTCTTCAATTTCAAATGGCATTCATATACTTGCCCGACATCTGTTACAGTGTTATTTATCAAAAAAGATAAACATTGTAATTTATTTCAATAGAATTGAAATCCCATGGGGAAACCTGCCACCCAAACTTAGATGAGATTAATCAGCAAGATTTGAAAAGGCCAAAGACAAAGAAAAGGAAAATAGGCTTCTAAGTGGTAAACAAAATTATATTTACACAGATCTGGTCTGTCATTTTTCTTAAGAGTTCACTTGACACAGGTGTCTTCATCTCGAGGTTATCTGAATAGCTAAAAATGTTATTAAAATCTGCTGAGGGCTACAGAAGGTTTTTCTGTCAGTCATTAAAAAAACCCCAAAACAGTGAAATCTACTGAAATGGTCTTACCACTACTGATGAATAATTCTACTAGCTGATGCTTGGAGAAATCAGCATCCACTTCAGCTCTCACTATTTCACAGGTGAATCCTGCAGCTGTTTGCTTTTGCTACGTTCAAAAACAAAAAACAAATCGAGTTTCACTGAAGCTGTGCAGCCTCTAATTTCTGAAGGAAGATGGCAAGTACGTGAACTGTCAGTACCTTCATGCAGAGTGCAATCTGATGTGCTATGTAGTCTTGTAAGCTTCCTTCTGGGCCATGAAAGATAACATTATGATATTGCTCAACCTGTTGAGAAATTAAGGGAAGATCACTTGAGAAAACGTCACACTGGTAGCAAATATATATGTATGTATGTAAACAAAACATTTTGTGTTACATATACATAGATTTATAGATATCTATTTTTATGTGTAATATTGGCCCTTTGTTGTCTTTAGATATGGATGAGGATAGAAAGAAAAGTAGAGCCTGCCTCATTTTTCCTTTCCTACCCTATTTTTAAGAGCAAAATGTGAGTCCTGTTCAGTCCAATATCCTTTTCAGGTGCTGAACAAATGTTTGTTCACTTAATCCCAAATTACGATAAGAAATTCTACTTTGGTATCCTACAAGTATGAGGCAGACACAGTAAAAATAATGTCAACAAGTGAAATCAGGACAGGTTTCTAAGACTTGCTAAATAGCTCACCCCTGAGATTTACAAATATATTGCTTAGCTTATCTTGGTTGCCCTTTATCTGAATTGATGAGGGTGTCTCAGTACAGAAAACAAGAGTGTTCCATTCATTATCGCCATCCTGTCACATTGCTTTCAGAGTCTGAAGATTGATGCTGGGATGATATAACAGCAAGGCAGCCAATCTCAGAGATAAGATGTCTTCAATTTCAACACCTCATTTGTTCTCGGATTGTAGGTTGGCCAGCACTGCAGGCTGGCAACATTCAATTAGGGTTTTCAATAAAAGGGTCATTGAGGAAGAGCAAGCCCTTTGTGTTTACATGAAGGGCACACACTTCCAGAACACTCCCTAAGTCACACAAGCTATTATCAGACACTCTCTTCAACTCAGCTCAATTGTTGCACAGAATGGCGCCTTCTCTCTTATCAAACATCTATGTATGTATGTTGAACAGTGTTCAGGATCTGACTTAGAGCCCTCAAATAAAATGTCCTCGATTCTGTTTCTCTGACCAAGGAAGAGATCTATAATTACTACATTACTCCCAAAAGGTTGATATACTGGGCACACAGAACGCATATAGTTCATGCTGCCAGCAGAGGGAATCTTATGATTAAGCATTTGGATGCCTTAATTGCATCCTCAAATCGATTTGTATCTCTATACAAATGATCATGTCAAAATAGCTGAATTCCTGTTGTTCAATTGTCCCATCATCTATCTGATGACATGCTTCTATGTCTGTAACACACTGAATGTGTTTTCCATTTATTCTGTGCATTATGGCTGTCATGATCTGTACTGATTACTTTTATTTGGATAACTTTAGAATCTATTCAAAAACACTTTATCACATTTCAATTGGTTTTATGAGTCAAATGGCTTCTGGACTAAAAGGAACAGGTTGACACTAACACTATGTTCTCTTTGGTTTTGTTTTCCCTCTTCCCCTACAATCAATGGCTTTCATTTGAATAGATGCTATTAGAGAACATAACATATTTGCAACTATTTTGGATTTCACGTTCACAATGTTTCAGGACTCCAAACATTTTTGAACAAAACCTTGACTCTCCCCTTAGAATTTTTGCTGTTCAAGAGGCAGATTTAGGTTGAGTTTTGATGAACAAGTAAGCTTGAAAAATAATAACAGAAAATGGGTTTTACAAAGTCAATAAAAGTGAGATAACTCTAACCAAATGTCTCATGTTTCATATATAGTAATTTAATTCTAAACATGTGTGACATTACAATTTAAAGAACTAATTTATTCATTACTTGAAATCTACACATAGACATCAAAATACAATGTTTTCATGTAAAATTCCTTAATGAAAAATCGGAACAGCTAGAGTTTAGGAAATAAACAAACAGAATGCCTTACATCTGAAAAAGCTGAAGCCACATCTCTACATCTGAGAATCCAATTTCATCCAACAAATATTTATTAAGTATCTACCCATGCAAGACATGATTCTAGGTCTTCGAGATACAAAGACAAATATCAAATGATCCATGCCTTCAAGAAGCTTACAATTTATTAAGTAATCACAAAGGCAAACTAGTGTGATTTGCCACTGTGGAGCGTTAACAAGTTTCTGCCTTGGTAACCCAGGCCTTTGAATCATGGGGATTTGAAGATAAGAACAAACCTGGCTAGCCGCCTTTTGCCACCTCACACCTCCCCTTCCCCTCAATTACATTTGCCACAGGTACCAGAATTTCTAGTTACAGCATTGCTAATAATATCCTGAGGCTGTTCTAAATTCTAAAAGGCCAAAACGTAACTGTCAATTGAATGCTTTACGATTATTATAGCCAACTTATCACTCTTTGAAGCAGCTAGGTGGTTCAGTGGATACAGTGCTGGGCCTAGAGTCAGGAAGACTCATCTTCTTGAGTTCAAATCTGGCCTCAGACACTTATTAGCTGTGCAAGTCACTTAACCCTGTTTGCCTCAGTTTCCTCATCTATAAAATGAGTTAGAGAAGGAGATAGCAAAGCACATATTGTGTTTTCTGCTCCAAAGTCATCAGAACCATAATTGGCTGGCTGTTTTTCACTAATTGAGATCCTTAAAGGTATTTCCAGAGCATCTATGAAGACAATCAGAGAATTCAAAGACAAGAAGGAGATGGCACTTTGCCAAGAAAACCCCACATGGGGTCATAAAGTGTCGGACACAACTGAAATGACTGAACAACAACAATTACTCTTTAATGTCACTTTTTTAAAGGTGTTTTTTGTCCTATATGTACATTTTATATAGAGGCAAGATAGCATTGTGAATAAAGTGCTGTCATCAGAACTTCGACAGGAAGGCTTTCCTGATTCCTTTGAATTCTAGTGCCTTGCTTCTGTTGATTACTTCCAATTTATCCTGTCTATAACTTGTTTGTACATAGATGTCTTCATGTTGCCTCCCTCATTACAGTGTGAGGCAGGGACTGCCTCTTGCCTTTCTTTGTATCCCCAGTGCTCAGCACGGTGCCTGACACATAATAGACACTTAATGGTTTTTTTTCCAGCCAAAGACAAGGTTTATTAGGAGCCTGAATATTAGTGAGCTATTGGCTAGATTATAAGAATCTGAGCCACTTAATGTTTATTGACTGACCATGTAACTGAGCAGTGTGAAAATAATAATGCACATTTTTGCAACATTTTAAAGTTTATCAAGCACTTCCCTTAAAATAGTCCTATGAGGTAGGACACTGAAGTATTAGTACACCCATTTTACAGATGAGGAAACCGAGGCTCTGAGACATGCAGTGGCTTGCCTTTGATCACACAGCTACTAAATGTCGGTACTGAAATTTAACACCATGCCTTCTGACTCCAAGATGCTTTCATTGGTAACAGAAGCTGAGTACTAGAACTCTGTACATGACATTGTGTAGCATACCTACCAGTCGGAGGTAGTTTTGTAGGATCTGGAGAGGGATCATGGATGCATAAGTCACACTGCTGAGGCAGCCTTCTTGAGGTCCTTTGAGAAATAATACATAGCAGGGATAGCAATTCTTTCTTGACATAAAAAAATTACTAGGTGAAGTACACGAGACTTTAAATGTTTCCCAAACAAAAGTGGTACCCAAATATGTGTGTGTGTGGTGTGTGTGTGTGTGTGTGTGTGTATACATATACATAAAAGAAGCACATCATCATACCATTGTGAAGCACTTTACATACATTCTCTCAGCAACCCTGTGATGTAGGTGCTACTGTTAATCCCATTTTATAGGGTAGGGAAACTGAGAGAAGGAGAGGATGATTTACTTGCCCAGGGTCGCACAGCCAGTAAGTTTCTGAGGTCAGGTTTGAAATAAAGTCACCCCAACTCAAAGTCTAGCATTCACTCTACAGTGCTACCGAGCTTCCTTATATCAGACAATGTTGATTTCATAACAAGTACTGCTGATCCATCAGGAGGTCTGAGTTCAGGATCTGCCACACAGATGGGGAGTTCAACACTAATTTTCTTCATGGTTTTCATAATGGTTCTTCTGCTCCTTTGATGTAAGGGCGTAAGGTTAAATACCAATCCTATTTCAGGACAGTCTTACAGAATATTTGTTTATTTTGGTGATGTTTTTTAAAGAAACATAATGAAGTTTCACTAAGCAGAACTCTGAAATTTATAATGAATCTGAAGTGTATTTCTGATTCTTTGATTATTTAAAGTCTTAATGAAGAATCTACTCTGAAATGAGGAGCTGCTTTAAGGCTCAAGAAATTAATGATTTTATCAGTGTGCTTTCACTTTTTGGAGTCTAGTAATTAATGCTTATTGCTTACCAATCAACAGTTATCAAATATCTACTATATGCCATGTACCTTAGACATAAACAAAAGCAACTAAATGTGGTATATTATTATGAATTGCATTTTAAAAATTAACTTATGAATGATACTATAAAGTATTATATATTTGAAAATGTCATTAATCTTAGTACATATATGTATGGAGGTAAAAACAAATGGTATTTCTAAGAATATGTTCTATGATTCATGACCTATTGTTCTTCCTCTAATGATCCCAAATGAAAGAAGTTTTACTGTAATCAGAACTAAAGAGTAAAGCACAGGTCTCAGGACTGCAGGCTTTTCCTCTTTGCTTTCTTTTAACTAAATATCTCAGATGCTCCCTTTCCACAGCAGAGCCACAAGAAACATGTCAGATATAATATAAAAACTCAGATTAAAAGCTCCCTGAGGGCAGTGTAAGCTCCCTGAGGGCAGGGACTATGTTACTTTCATATTTGTATCCCAGTCAGTTCCTGGTATGTAACTGGCAATTAATAAATGCTTTTTGATTTATTAACAAATTGCTGCAAAAACAGTCATGTAGGAAACATTTTTCAACCATTCAATTTGTGTCAAGAGCCTTTACCTGACAAAAACACAGTAATATGGTCAGCTTTATTTTTCCTCATAAAATCCCATGGTGATTGAGGCAAAATCTGGCCTGTTGACCATGACATATTTCCTGGTTGAAAAAATAAAATAAAATAAATGTTAAAGGGAAAATGTATTATTGTTTTCATCATCAATTATTATTACTTACCATGTAGTCAAATTTATGAATCCATTTGACATCTGAAGGCAGGTTAATAATTAAGTTCTTAGTTATACAAAAATAAACTCAAGTGCTAGGCAAATGACATCCGCACCTCACAAGGTTTTAGGCGATGACATTGTCACTAAGTTGGGTTCCTTCAGCTTCCTGATATCTCAAGACTCAATATTCACTGAATGAGCTGACCCTCAAGTCTTAGACAGTGCTTAGAGTAATGCACTATTATTTTCTGCCCCATCAATTACTGCTGGATAGGGGATGCTAATAATGGCAGCTCCATAACTTCAGTCAGATGGAGCATAAATGGTTGTGGCTAGAGTTAATAGCCAGAGGTAAAGGGATCGGAAGAGCACTCACTCTGGTGCATGAATGGCTGTACAAGAATATGGGCAAACCAAAAGAGGTGTTCAGAGGCAGATTTTGAACCCAGGTCTTCCAGACTCCAATTCCAGAACCCTACTTCCACCACGAACCTCCTCAAAATCTAAAATTGGAGCTACATTTTGAGACTTTGTTCTCAGGTTTATAAGATGGCATCTATAATGTGATTTTTTTGGTTTACAATTAGCTACAAAAGCAAATACACTGCAAAGCTTCAAAAACTGTTAGTATTTAAGTATCATTTGAGGCATAAAAACCATCTTTAACATGAAGAAGCTACTTTATGTAGCTGACATATATCATACAAGCTAGCAGCTGCCCTAAACAGGCATTGAATATACTTAATTAACAAATTACGCACTGTACTTCACACACCCCACAGATACCAAGGAGGCCCCAGATTTAACTTTTTTTTCTTGTTGCAAGACTTCAGCTACCTAGCTTGATGGATTGGATGCTGTTCAGATTTAGGCCGATGCTGGATTCAGTAGCGTTATTAAACGTCAAGTTCTCCAGACTTCTCCATCCATCAGAAGAGATTGCCTGGAAATGGTTTGTCAGAGCCTGACTCACTGCTTTCGAAAGATCATCCCATGTTGTCTGTTTGTGGATATTTAAAGCACATATTGTGTTTTCTGTTTCAAAGTCATCAGCAGCATAGTTGGCTGGCTGTTTTTCACTAATTGAGATCCTTAAAAGTATTTTAAGAGCATCTGTTAAGACAATCAGAGAATGTAAAGACAAAATATGAGAGAGGAAAAAATAACAGTGAAAAAGACGGAGTCTTAATAAAAGTGATCATTCAAAAAAATTTAGCTATCACAAGGTTTTAAATACTGTTCAATTATTATTCAATTTATTTATTCATTTTTCAATTAATTTATATGGAACTATGTATACTGTGGTTGCCTTCTTCCCTTTAAAACTTTCTCTCTAGACTTACTTCTCCTATACTTAAATCTATAGGACACACCACTACTTACATTCAGATGACTCATCTATATTGTCTTCCTCATCATTTCACCTCGTTCCAGTCACAAAATCATAAATCTTAGAGCTGGAAGGAATTTCAAAACAGAATCTAGCACAGATCTCAGGGTTCAGACACGTATTATTCGCATTCTTTTAGGGAAGAGTTTAAATTGCTTGCCAAGACAGCACAAACAAGAAACTGAGGAAGGGAACAAGGACTCAGATCTCCTGCCTCATTATACGGTATTCTCTGTTATTCCCAAACCCTCTTAATTCTAGTGTCTTTCCTCTGATAATTATTCTCTATTTACCCTGTATATGGCTTGCTTTGCATATATTTGTTTGCATATTGTCTCCCCTGTTATATTGTAAGCTTCTTGAGGGCAGGGACTGTCTTTTGCCTCTTTTTATATCTCTTGCTTTTATTTAGCACAGTGTCTGGCCCATAGTAGGTACTTAATAAATATTTATTGATTGATTATACTGTTATTTGACTTACAGTTGCCTACAAAAGTCTACCTGTGGACTATCTTGCAATATTTCTAAAGGGGATCATCATCTTTCACAATTTCACATTACTCATTTTCTCTATTAACATCCATCCTTCTGAACTCAAAAGACTCATAAACTTAGGGATTAATCTTACTCCTTTCATGTTATAGCTGAAGGCATTGTCTATACAGATTTTTTCCTCCCAGATTTGCTTTTTTCTCCCCACTTTGCCCCCTAAATTGAGTGTTCTATTACCTCATAGCCAAATTGCTACAATAGCTTTTTGATAATATCTCCTCACTTCCAATCTCTCCTCATTCTAATCTATCCTATAGAAATACCTAAACAATTTTCTTCAAACACCACCTTCATCTATACTTCTGCCTCTCAATATATAATCTACAATGGCTTTCCTTTGATGATCATATTAAATCTAGGATTCGAAACCCGCAATTCTCACTCTTCCATCAACTGGCCCCTTTCACCTCTCTGACCTCATATCACTTTATTATTCTTCAACAGCCCTACAATAACTCCCTTTCTGCTACAACCCTAGGCCAAACCACTTGCCACCTTCCATACAAACAACTAGCTAATAGCTTCCTTTTGCTCACCCTTGTTTTCCTCGCTCAGAATTCCCTTTCTCCTCTGTTCCACTGACCCATTTGTCTGACCTTATTCAAAACTCACTTCTCCCAGTGATCCTAGATTCACTCTACCATAACCTTGGATCAATGCCTGTCTCTGCCATCTCCTCACTCTTAATTTAGTTTTTACTGTACTGCATTGTGTGTACCGACTGTTGGCTTTATGTTTTAGTTTTTGCACATTGATTATTCCCAAATGGATTGTATGATTTGAGGTCAAAAGTTTCCTGCCTTTTGTTTTTCCTTTGTAATTCTCCCACAATACAGTACAAGGTATATGGGAAGTGCTCAGTGAATACTTACTGACTTAATTTGCTTTTCATATGGCATAATTTAAATAATGACTTTTTAAAGTATCAAGAATAAGTTATTAAATAGTCAAATGGTGGTTTCCCTATTTTCCATTTTCTTTCTTAGGTGAGCTTTCTACTATACTTACTAAAGAGCTGACATATGAATAAAGAATCATTGTTTCTGAATAAAGATTACTATTTATATAAAAAGCTTACTCAGCTTCTAAAGATGAACAATGACATAAATGTATAGGGCCTAGAAATCTAGATTTCAAAAATATGTTAAGCAAAGTTTTCCTAATAGCAAAACTAAAAATTTAAAAATGAGAGTCTTGCATTCTCTCCCCATAACTAGTTCCCAAGTAAAGTAGTTTATTTTTATGTATTTTATACGATTTCTCTTTAACAAGACAAAGCCCTCTTTTCTTGAAATGTTTTATTACACACTTAACACTAGGACATAAACCTTGAAAAACACACAAAAAAGATTTTAAAACTATATTTAAAAATCAAACTTTCACAGTTTCTAGCTTAATGAAACTGAAAATTAACACCAACAAAGTAATATCAAACTCATCTTATTTGATTACATGCCTTCTTATTTTCTGACTATTTTGTCAGTTGTGTTAGTCATTGGTCATTATTTATATGGTTATAATTTGTAAAGATATTATACTTTTGAATTTCCTTTCCTCATTCTGCATCACTGAATAGCTATAGCCTTATCACATTGAATATGTTTGACCTCATCTCTTACTCTCTAAAGGAACAAAAGAACAAAAGCCTATATGCTTAGGGTGAAGACAAAAGCATGAGGTCATTAGTTTGGGCTGCTGCTAAATTACAGAAATTAGACAAAAATTACAGATGCTTATGATTGACAGGGATATGACAAACATTAGGAGGGCAATTACAAAAGATTAAGATCTTATTCCATACTGTGTAGATTAAAGAAAAAAAATACAGAACCAAGCAATCCAGAAAATAGCTAACTATTGGTATGCAAGTATAACGTTGGCATGAAAGAGCCTAAATAATCATGTTAAATAAAATTAAATAATTAAAATAAGTAACTAAATAAATGTTGACAGTTAAGAGACTTTGGTCAAGTCACTTAACTTCTCACCTTTGAAGGCAATTCCCTAGGGATATATTTATTAAATCAAAAACTGGTTCTGAGGAACATAGGTGGAGGGAGTTTCCACACTGGGACTCTGCTTGTTGAGATCACAGTTCCTTCATGTATTCCTGTTAGGGACTTTAGAGATTATCTAGTCCAACCCTTTCATTCTAAAGATGAGGAAACTGAGGCTTAGACAAGCAACTTGCCCAAACTGAGTCAGTGACAAGTTGCTGTCACACTACAAACCCAAACGTTTATTTAGAAATCTAAATAGAAAGAAGAAATAAAAAGTAGTAGTTACTTATGTTGATGTCAATTTTTAGATTACTGGGAAAAAAACCCAACACCTAGCCCACATGAACAGCAGGAATTTATTCTAATAGTCATTTTATAATACTCTAATAGTCATTTTATAATTTCAAAATGGAAAGCAATTGCCGTATTTAAAAATCAATGAAATAGTTTTGTATTACTTAGGGTTCAAACAACCTATTCAGGGAATAAGAAGCATACAAGAAAACTGTGGTTGAATCAATATCCTTTCCATTCTCTCCTAGGCTCCAGGATTATAAATATTTCATTGTGAGAAATCTATAAGGTGTCACTCACTCAAGTTCTCTAGGAGATGTTTGCAGTCATCAGTAGCAACATCATGCACAGTCCGATTGCACTTATCTCTCTTTTCAGCCTCAAGTCCACCGTGGCTACATAAGATTTCTAGGCAGTTCTGCAATGACAAGAGCTCAATTACTTGCTAGTCTAATGAAATTAGCTGAAGCTATGTTCCCAAGAGAAATGCTGGTTGCTTGCAGCAAGTCACTGTGATAATCTCTCATGTCTAGTTTGCCAAAATATGCAGATTAAGGCAGTGCCAACAAAGGCTGCAGGTGAGAAGGCAAGGGGCACTTCACTGTGATGTGAATTACTGGATCAAATGAATTTGGCAAGAAAAGTCTCTCAGGTGTCAAGTGATTAAAAAAAAGATTAAATGACAATAATTACTAATTTATTTATGAGAAAATGGAAGTGAAGAAAGCAAATGAAGATTCCAGGCAGAACTCCCTAGTTCTGTGGTACTGTAGCAACACATAGCTAGTAAGTGTCTGCAGACAGATTTGAACTCAGGAAGATGAGTCTTCCTGATTCCACGCTCAGTACTATCCACTGCGCTCCCTGGCTGCCCAAAGACACTGGAGCGGTTCATCATTTCCTTCTCCAGTTCATTTTACAGATGAGGAAACTGAAGCAAACAGGATAAAGTGACTTGCCCAGGGTCACAGAGGTAGTGTCTGCAACTGGATTTGAACTCAGGTCTTCAAAACTTAGGCCTGGTGCTAAATCCACTCTGCCACCTAGCTGCCCATCTGTATATCATAGCTGCTTAATTAATATTTAAGGCTGAAGATAGTCCTGAGTGGTGTCCTTTCAAAATGCAAATGAAAAGAATGGAAGATGAACCTTTATACGAGGACCTTAACATCTTTAGGTTTAAAAGTGATTAACTTTCATTTTTATAAAATTCTAGTAGGTTGAAGAGATCTCACTACAGTCTGAGAAACAGTCAGAGAGGGATAAATACCTTGCTCTCTCCCTGCGGCTAAAGCTTTACCCTCTATGCTTATATTTTATCTTTTCTCTATTTATCTTTTATGTGCCTTCTATTTACATGTTATTCTCTCATTAGAATCCACATTTTTTGAGGGCAAGGGGCTGATTTTGCCTTTCTTTGTACCCCAGAGCTTAGTTCTTATAATAAGTTAATTCATTAAAAGTTTCTTGTTAATTTATTGATCAGATACAGCTTAAAAAGTCAGTGGTAGAGATGGAAACACATTCAAATTTTAAAACCTGTTATTGTCATCAACTGTCATCTACCAAGTGTTGTTTTTCAGCCATCTCCAACTCTTCATGACCTCATTTGAGGTTTTCTTGGCAAGAATAATAAAGCAGTTTCCATTTCCTTCTCCAGATCATTTTATAAATGAGGAAACTGAGGCCAACAGGGTTAAGTGACTTGTCCAGGGTCACACAGCTAGTAAATGTCTGAGGTCATATTTAAACTCAGGAAGATGAGTCTTCCTGATTCTATCCACTGCATCATCTAGTTGTCCAACACCTCTCCTGGCTCTACTGGATATACAAAAATACCACAAGGTATCTATCTGCCCTCACAATATTATGATTTAGTTGGAAAAACAATGCTGACACATGAAATGGGAAAAAAAAACACATGAGCTAAACTTCAGACCCTGATTCATTACAGGAGTTTAAGAAAGTAAGAGGAAGTCAGTGTAGACTCAAATAGTTGGTAACCGTTACATAGGAGAAGCAGGATTTGCATTACAGGTTAGGATTTCAGTGGACAGGAAGGGGATAGCATTGCAGGTGGTGACAGATTCTAAAGCAAAGGTGTGAATATGTAAATAAGCACAACATGCAGAGAAGACCATTTTTTTAATGTAGATTTTTCTTTTCTTTTTTTTCCAGAAGAGATGTGTTTGAAGTCATTGTGTCAGGCTCACTGCCAATCACAGGTCGTACAAATTGCTGTACGTTCATCAGTCAGAAATACTTTACACTTAAGAAGATGAAAAGTGATGATGACGATGATATTATTATTACTAATTTTATATAATGCTTAAAGTTTGAAAAGTCCTTTATAGCCACCATTTCATTTTATTCTTACAACTACACTGGGAGCTAGCTATTATTATCCCTGTTTTTACATATAAGAAAACTGAGGGAGGCTAAATGACTTGTCCAGGGTCACTCTGAAGACTGTTTAACTCAGGTCTTCTTGACTCCAGGTATAACATTGTGCAGTAGTGGAAATAAATTTAAAAAGATAGTATGGGGACAAATTACAGAGGATTTTTAATGACCGCACAGAGAAGTGTGGACTCAGTACACAAGGCAACAGAAACAACCACACACTCAATTCAAAAACATATTTATTGAGCCCCAGTTCTACGTAAGGTAACGTACCAGCAGCTGCTTCTAGAGGAGAAGAGCAACACAGTGAAACAATGGTTAATAAATCTTAGGTTATCAGTGATCTGGAGGATGGGGTGGAAGGGAGAAGACAAAAAACCCGTGAGGTCTGCTAGTGGGCTGCTCTAGCAATTTAGACATGCAGTGAAAGGCTGGTCTAAGCTGGTTTAATTCAATTTGATAAGCATCTGACAAGTATTTATTAAATGCCTACTATGTGCCAAGCACTGTAATAGGTCCTGGGGATAGAAAGACAAAAAGAAAATAAAGAGCAGTCCCTACCATCAGCAACTTTGCATTCTACTAAGAGATAAAAGATAGAAAAAAGATCCAGAATGCAAAGGGAGAAGTGGGTCCAAGATGTATTATAAGGGAACAGTAAGAATGTTTGGAGACAAGGCTGAATGTAAAGGATAAAAGAAAGAGGAAAGTCAAAGGATAGAAAGCTATAGCATAGTAGAAAGAACATTGGCTATGGAGTCAGAAAATCTGGGTGTAGATCCTGCCTCTGCCACTTACTGGTCTTATCAATTCCACAAGGCATTTCATCTCTTCTCATCATTAAGCATTTATTAAATGCTTACTACCATATCTTCTAGGTACTGGGGTGCAACAACGAAAAAGTCCCTGCTCTTAAGGAGTTTCCATTCTATTGGGGAGACAGCATATATATATATATATATATATATGTACATGCAAAATGTATGCACGATAAACATGTGGTAATTTTTTTAGGGGAAGATGCCATAGATTCATGTAGAAGATATCACTTAAACCTACTTTTCAAGGACATTAGGGAGTCTATGAGGTGGAGACCAGGAGGGAATGCACTCTAGGCACAGAATGTCTTTGTGCCTCAATTTCCTTATCTGCAGAATCCAAAATATAAATTCACAGCTTTTTAGAGCTGGAAAAAAACCTTAGAGTCATCTAATCCAACCCCTTAGTTTTTTCAGAAAAGTAAACTGGTATGCAGAGAAGTGAAAGACAGCTAGTTAGTGGCAGAGCCAAAATTCAAACTCAAGTCTCCAGAACCTTAGTTTGGCTACTCTTTCTACACCATACCAAACTGCTTATACTCAGAGAACTGAATGAAATGAAATAACTAATGTAAAGCATTTTGTAAGGCATTCTAAAAATGCCCACTATTACTAGTCCTTCAAGGTTTCTAGCTTGGAAGGCTGGAAAAAAAAACCCAACAACAATGCCCTCTTTGGCAGAAAGCTGGAAGTTAGAGTAGGGTGCTGCCTTGTTGGATAGGGTTTTGAAAAACGATGAATTTTGTTTTGGGCACATTGGGTCTGAGGTAACAACAGGCTAAGCCTAGAGTTCTCTCTAGACAACTGGAAATGTATGTTTGAAGCATGAATCAGATTTAGCTCTAGATATACAAAGATCCGGGACTCATCAGCATTGAGCAGCTGACTGAAACCACAAGAGTGGAGAGATCTCTGCAAAGGAGTAATAGGAGAGATGGAGAAGATCATGGAATTGAGAAGAGTATCCATGGAGTCAAGCTGAATAAGGAAGTCAGAGGAAGAAGAGCAAAAGGGATGGAATATGTTCAGAGATGGGAGAATTTTTAAAAACTGTTATGTAAAGCTAAAAAAGGTGAGTTTAGAAGAGTAAGTGATCAGTAGAAACAAGAGAGGAATGAAGAAGGAAGAAAGGAAGGAAACAAGTATTTATTAAGTGCCTACTATGTGTTAGATGCTTTACAAATATTATCTAATTTGACCCCCAAAACAACCCTGGGAGATAGGTGCTATTTTTATCCTCATATTTACAGTTCAGGAAACTAAAGTAGGCAAAGGTTAAGTGATTTTCCCATGGTCATACAGCTAATAAGTATCTAAGGACAGATTTGATCTCATGTCTTTCTAACTCCAAGTACACTGTTCTATCTACCACATCTCTGAGGCACTGGAAGTCTGAGGACCCAAGACTGAGAAGATGAAAGTGAATTTGGCAAAATGGAATCTTGAGATCTCCAATCCGTGGTTTGACATCAGGAAACATACTAGCAAATCAGAAGGTACAAAATGTACCAATAACTTCCTCAATGGAGACGTTAAAACTCTAAAGCATCTGCCCAACCTGCTTCTCTTGCTAGAAATGATGCTATCAGAGTACTAGTAATTAAACATATAATCACACAGCTGTGCCTCCTTTCCATTTAAGTGAGGTGAAGGATGCCATCATCAGATCAGCAATCTATATACAATAGAAATGGTCCAAATATTAGGAGAGTACTCCTATTACCAAACATCATGTTATTTGGTATATCCATAGCTTTACCCCAAGAACCGCAAAAAATGGCTCAAAAGAGAGGAGCGGAGAGTAACTTAGAGACTAAATCACCTGAAAATCTGCTCTTGGGTTTAAAGCATAAGATCTGATAGATATGAAAGAATGCATGCTACACAGAAAAATAATGTTCTCAACTTGCCCATGCTATCCAACTAAAATATTTTAGTTATTCCTAGTCAGAAATGTAAGATATTTAATTTTTCCAGAAGAATGGCACTTAGTTATAGATAAATTATTCTTGATCTGATAAAGCTTCCTCACTTCGACGCAGTCAGAATTTTTTCCAGGAGGGGCAGTGTGTTTATACTTTCCCCCTAAGGGGTTAAATCAACATGGAAGGCAGAGAGAATCGATGGAAATCACTATGGAAAGAGGCAAAGTTCTAGCTCCAGCTCTGCCACTGTGATGTCAGGCAAGTTAGAACCTTGTTGGACCTCAGCTTTCTCATTTGTGAAATGATCACCAAGGCTCCTGCCAACTCTGAAATTTTATGGTGCTTCAAACTTTTATGCTTTATGGTCTTCAGACTCTACTATTTATATCCTTCCTTTCTCTGTCTTACAAATTGTGTTACATAGTTATTACAAGATAGATATACTTTTATACTCCTATGAATTTAAAAAACATTTGTTCTGAGAAAGGGCTCAGAGGTCTCAGCAGACTATAAAATGGGGTCAGGACCTATCCCCGACTCCATCCCCCCAAAAGATAAGAATCCCTGATATCGAAGTAGAAATATTTCACAGTAAAAGAGTTATTATGTATCAGCATCTGAAGATTTATGCAATAGTAATAGGTGGCACAGTGGATAGAGTGCATGGCCTCCAGTCAGAAGACTCATCTTCCTGGAGTTCACATCTGACCTTGGACACCTGCTAGCTGTGTGACCCTGGACAAATCACTTAACCCTGCATGCCTCAGTTTCCTCATCTATAAAACAAACTGGAGAAGGAAATGGCAAACCATTATCTCTATCAAGAAACTGCCAAATAGGATCACAAAGAGTCAGACATGACTAAAACTAGTGAACAACAATAGTTTTAAAATTCTGCCCCCAAGACTACAAATACAGTAACCCTCTAATGAAGGAGCATTCACAGACTTGTAGAAAATGCTGCATGTGAGTAGAACTGATCATCACCACTGAATCAATATGTATTTTCATACTAATTCCCTCCTCCAAAAACTTCATTTGGCTCTTCTGACATTTACACAGTTGAATTATTTTACATTCAATTCTTTGGGCATTTACTGACTATCCACCATTTGCATGACTTTTGATCTTAAAGAATGACTAAAGAATGGACTGCTATCAACTAATACCAACACCTTAAACTAAACCACTGCTTTTCTTCCAAATTGCTCATGGAACTTCCCATGATAATACCAACTCACCTGGGAAGGAAGATTATCTACATTTTTACTGAATCCCAGGAAAGGTATGTAACTGCTCAGAAACACAACCAGAAAGTGAAGGAATGAGAAGGAAGGAAAATACAAGCCTCCAACCCAAGGGGAATCCTTCTATTTGGCCACATCATAATCCTATTGTCAGTCTGATTTGGGTATTTTTTCCTACGTTATGAACATTAAGAAATATTTCCAAATAGCCCACACATTTCCTACTGAAAACTCTACCCACAAATTCCAAGAAGAGGAGGAGATTTAAGGAAGGGCTCTGCTTCTTATTCCCTTTCCTCCATGTTCCCACCTCCATAAATGTCTGTTGGATGCCAAGAAGGGAAATTTTCTTTAACTCCTAATAGTAACCCTCAAAAACACCCCCTCTAATTATTTAATATAAACATGTATGAATATTTTATTCCCAACAACTCACTTGCGTCTAAGAGAAGCGGGCTTAAGTGAACACACCTTAAGGCCTTTTGATGCAGCTATGTGGGCAGCAGTCCAGCCTTCTTTGTCAGCATGGTTGATGAGATCTGTAGGAACAACAGGCTTGGCTTGACAGTCAGAATTCTCCTCTCTGCAATCCAAGTCAAAAATGCCTGAATGGGGCTCCATATCACACATAAGGTTTCCATTATCAGGTACCCTATAGTACATAAGGAGCTTCAGGCCATCCACATTACCAGAATCCACAGCAGCATGAATTGGGGTCCAACCATCCTGAAAACAAAAATTCAAGGTGGGGAAAATTTATAAAATAGTGTATTATGATGTTTATAATAGCTCTGTTCCAAGTGCATCTTTAGTGAGCTTTTAGGATGAGTCTGCAAGCCAGAAAAAGCATGAGTTCCAATCACGTCTAGCAGGATGGGCTGAAGGAAAGTGATTTGACCTTAGTTAGTTATATTTCCCATTTTGCTATGATAAAAGTTGTCTACTGTTTCCACTTCAAATTAAGAGGCCTATTAGAGAACAATCTGATGAGCAAAGGTATTTTCTGACATTGTGTTTGTCTGGTATATGTCGTATATGGCATACAAGAATCTCAACCCTACTTAGAAAGCAAAATGTGGTATTAATTCTAGATTATTATGTCCTATCCAAAGGATATTTCTCTCATTTACTCATGTATGAAAATGCTCCATTGTTATAAGCTAGTCCCTCTACAAACAGTAATGAGCGACAGGGAATGGACCCCAAGGACAATTTTATAGTAAAATTCCAAGGCACTTGATTTATTTATATACATATATGTACATATACTTGATTTGCTATGTAATGGTAAATTTCACAACTGAAACTAAATACAACCCAAAAGGCAAAGAAGAGATGCCCCATATTGTCAATGATTATTTATATGTGAGAACTTGAATAAAATATTTCATTGAGACCAGTATGACAAAAAAAGGAGGTGTGCTCCCAGTAAAAGTAAAGTATTACAGTCAGTCCAATTATTTAAGTAGTATGCACAAAATGTTAAAAGGCCTAGGTGAAGGATGCTAGGAGCATATTAGGTGGACACTCTATGGAAACTTGAGGAAAGGATGTGAACAACTATGCAGGAATATGCTTCTTACGGGCTTTGATTTTGCTTCACTGGTGGAGAGGGCACCCACATAAGATTACACAACTCACATGTCAAGCTCCGGGCGACAGGGATTGGATTGCTTTCTCATAACATTCTAAATATTAAGAACTTTTGACATGGTACACCAGAATTTAAGGGGATAATGTACCTATACAAGAAAAATAGATAATGTCTATCTGAACAATGAAGGGGCAGCTAGGTGGCACACTGGATAGAGCACTGGCCTTGGAGTCAGAGGAATCTGTGTTCAAATCTGGTCTCAGAGCAGACACTTGACACGTACTAGCTGTGTGACCCTGGGCAAGTCACTTAACCCCAACTGTCTCTCAGTAAAAAAAGAGAGAGAGAGAGAGAGAGAGAGAGAGAGAGAGAGAGAGAGAGAGAGAGAGAGAGAGAGAGAACGATGAATTTCAATTAGCACTGCTGCAGTGAGTTGAGGGTAGCTAGGTGCCACAGTGGATAGAAAGGTGGGCCTGGAGTCAGGAAAGCTCATCTTCCTAAGTTCAAATCCAGCCACAAACACCTACTAGCTGTGTGACCTTTGGAAAGTCACTCAACCCTGCTTGCCTCAATTTCCTCATCTGTAAAATGGGCTGGAGAAAGAAACGGTAAACCATTCCAGTGTCTTCGCCAAGGAAACCCCAAAAATGGGGTCACAAAGAATCTGACACAACCGAAACAACTAAACAAGAACAACTGTTCAGTTCTGGGTGCCATGAACATTTTCAAATGAGAAGACAACCAGGACTAAATTGGATTGGAATTGGAAATGCCATTGGAAACCATGCAGCCTGAGAGGCAGTTGAAGGAACTATCGAAGTTCATCCTGAACAAAAAATGGTATTCACATGTGGTAGGGAGATCATGATAGCTACCTCCAACTATTTGCAGGGTAGTTAAGAAGGATTTGGCTGATTTTATTTTGCTTCAGAAGACAGAATTAAAAGCAATGAATATACTTTTTTTAACATATGAAAAAGCCCTCCAGGAATGAGAGCTATACACAATTGGAATGAGCAGCTGGAATAAGGAGTGAGTGCCCTCTCTCTGAATGTCTTCAAGCAGAAGATTTCTGTTCAGGTATAGGTTAGATTTGGTGACATCTGAGGGCCCTTCCAAGACTCTAAAATGCTGTGATTCACCTTCACCTCTTCATTCACAATATCTTCTTATTTATCTGGACACATCTTATATTCTTCTCCAAAGCAGAATCTAAGTTCTTTGAGAGAAGAAACTTATTTTTTAAAAAATCTCTAACGCCCAGTACAGAACATATTAGGAGATTAATAAATGCTTGTTCATAAAAACTGAAAATGGATGTTTTTACCTCTCCCTGTCCTTTCAGATGATAATCCCAGATGAGGTCAGCAGATAAGAAAAGACCAAAGCAAGAAGGGAACTAAATAAATGAGTCAACATCCCTCATGCTCCAGGCAATTAATAAAACTTCATGACTCAGTCTCTGTCAAGTTGCTAATACTGTTCTCAGCAGCGCAGCATGGTGCAAAAAGCACTGTACCTGACATCTGGAGTGACACGGTCTCAAGGCCCACACGTATGGCAGTGTGAGCAACAGTAAGCTGTGTCCTTTCTCCAAGTCTCAGCTTCCTCTTCTATATATAAGACATAGGTAATATCTGCCTTATCTACCTCAGCAGAGAGTTGTTATATGAATGAAATAATGTATACCAAGTGCTTTGTAAACCCTCAAGATTTATAGAAAGATAAGCTATTTTGGGGGGGGGGGGAGAGATCAATTCGTGCTCATTAGCACTTTTCTTTCAAAAAGGTACTATGTTAACTCTTCCTTGAATTACCATATCGAAGGTAACATAGCTGCTCCTAGAAAAACATTCCACCTTCCAATATCCTATTATGTCCTTATATTAAAAGGCCAAAGTAAGAGTTAATTGCTTCCTTAAGCCCCATTGTTTGCGCTGCCTCATCTTTCTGGACGCTTCAGCTTCTTTACCTTCAAGTTGCCCAACAACACCTCATTAATATCTTACATCACTGTATAGGCTGACCCCCTGCTATCCAACACTAAGAAAGCTTAATAACGCATAAATTTTCATATAATCATCATAGAGTTCATTTGCTTTCCTTTTGTAAAGCAGAATTAATAAGGCAGCAACGGATAGAGTTGTTGTTTGTTGTTGGGATCTGTTTTTCATTCATGTCCGACTCTTTGTGACCCCATTTGGGTTTTCTTGGCAAAGAACTAGAGCGAGGCAAACAGAGGTAAGTGACTTGCCCAGAGTCACACAGATAGTAGACAGGGTACCTGGCCTGAAATCAAGAAGACTCATCTTTCTGAGTTCAAATCCAACCTCAGACACTTACTAGTTATGTGATCCTGGGCAGGTCACTTAACCCTGTTTGCCTCAGTTCTTCATCTGTAAAATGAAATGGAGAAGGAAATGGTATCATCTATGCCAAGGAAAACCCCAAATGGGGTCACTGAGACTGAAATGACTGAACAGCAACTTCCTGAAGTAAACGTCACAGACTAGATTACAAAAGAAAAAGAATTAAATGAAGTGAAATCACCAAAATTCTAAAAATCTTATTGAAAGCCTCTATAGAATATATGAATTGAAATATACAGTTCAGCCCTGACTTCTCTCCCTAACACCACCCTCTTCCCATTAGCTTACAACTTGATATTATGTAATCACTTCAGACTCTTCTTCATCCCTCACTTCCCACATTCAATCAATTATCTAAGACCTGTTAATTCTACCTCTCTGCTTCACTCCCCACTTGCCTTTGCCATTTCATTAGCTTAGAGTCTCATCACTTGTACTACTGCAATAGTGTGCTAATTAGCCTCCCTTTCCTTAGTTCATCCTTCACAAACACAGTTACCAAAATAATCTCCCGAATGTACATACGCGACTATGCAACATCATAGGATCATAGATTTATAGTTGGAAAGGAAAGAAGAGACCTCTGAGTCCTAGTGTCTCATTTTACAGATAAGGAAACTGAAGCCCAGAGAGATTAAATAACTTGCTTAGGGTTGCACATCTAGTATCTGATACAGGATTTGAATCTGGGTAACTCTACCACCAGTGCCTTAACCATCACATACCAGGCTCATGTGTTACACTCTTGCTTTCCCTTAGGGCCAGGAACAAAATCCCTAAGCTAAAGTTTAAGTACTTTTTTAGTCTCTCTCTCCCATCAACAATTCTAGCCTTAATTCACATACTTTGTGCACTCTTCATTCCGGTAATAGTGAACTTCTGGTAGCTACTCCTATATATCATTCTGCCTCCTCTTAAGTTATCCCTCTTATGTGGAAATCACCCCTCCCTCCTCTCTAGCTTCTGTTCCTTAAAGGGACAGTTCCCAATAACCCCAGCTGAAGGGGATCTGTCCTTCACTGAATTTTCTCAGAACAATTAACAACAACAACAATAATACTACTCTGTGTATCTCTTCTTTGCCTCTATTCTATTTTATCTTGTTTCATACTTAGATGCCTTCATGTTGTATACTCACTAGAGATTCCCAAAATTATTTGGCCTACATACCACTTTTCAAAAAAATAAATTACTCGGTAGCCCCCTGGAAAACTACTTTCTTTAACCCTTTAACAGTTTTTTTAAATTTGCATAATTTCAAAAAACTAAAATATGCTTTTTAAAAGTGATGCATCTTAAATCTAATAATTTATTGTAAATTTGTGGGTTTTTTCCTGCATTGAAATTTTAAGGACACACTACTGCATCATGTAACCATATAGTATTGTATTATAAACAAGTCATCCCATGCACATATTCCTGCCAATGCATGCTAGACTTGCCGACAATGAAGGACGTGCTCACCTGCCAACACTTGCTTGTTAAGACCTGTTGGTAGACTTGACCACTGATCAGTCATAACTTGTATTTTACATGTTTATTTGGAAAATAATGTATCACTATGACTTTAACTCTGTTACACAACAGATGAAAGGGTTTTTCAAATTACAAATGGTTTTTCAAAATTTTCTTATCTTCTCTTCTTTTCTTATGCTTCATCCACCCCCTTATTTTATCCAACATTCCTCAATTGCACCCGAGGCTACTACTGCTCCCCCAATCATTCCAGCATCCTCCAGGGGGCAGTACTGCCCTCTTTGGGAAGGGACTGTCAGTTTTGTTAAAGTGTGTGGGTGGGGAGACGAGGGGGTGGAGTATTGTTTGATCTTTGTGCACATTGCCTTGCACACAGAAGGTATCCAATAAATATTTACTTATTTGAATTAGTATGGCACAATGACATCCTTCCACCACTGAGGTGCCCAAGACATATTACTAAACTCTTGGTAAGGGGGCATGGTGGTACATCCTACAATTCAAAAAATTTTATAACACTCATCCCAGGGACAGGTAGGTGATGTTATGGATAGAGCACTGAGGCTGGAGTCAGGGAGACCTGAGTTCAAATTAAAACCTCAGATGCTTACTAGCTGCGTAGATCCTGAGCAAGTCACTTATCCACTATTTGCCTCAGCTTCCTCATCTGTAAAATGAGGAGAATAATATTTACACTACTCACCTTCTTATTAGAAAAGAACTCTGTAAACCCTATGTAAATAACAGTTGTTTCTATCATTAAATAAGAGTAATAACATTTTTTACTTACACTGGTTTTTACATTTCGGTCTGTTCCAGCTTCCAACAACAGTTTAATACATTCATTATTTCCATTTCTACAGGCCAGGTATAGAGGTGTTTGTCCTCCTTCAGCAGCATGGTTAATGTCAGCATGACATGCAATTAGTAATTCTGCACACCTAAACACAAAAATGGAATGAAAAAAAATTCTGTCTTTGAAAGCAAATGCATTATATGGTAAGGGCATTAAAATGAAAAAGCAATGTCAAATAATGGTGTATTAAAATGTATTCGTTATTAATATGATGCTTATGTTCAGATGTGCAATATGATTAAATTGATACTACAAGTTAATACGCACAAAATAGTTATAAACAAAATGAAACTGGAGAATGTACTTTTTGCAGGCTGGGGAAAAAAATCTTAAAAAAAAATTAGAGCCGTGAAAATTAAAAAAACAAACCTGTGAAATTAGTAGCTTTGATAAAGTGTGACAATCTGGCCCAAAACTTTAGGATCATAGCTTTTTTTTTTTTGCATTTTTTCCAATATTTAAAATAGTAGTCTTTGAAGGAAAAAATTTTTTATGTTTAATTTATGATTATTATGTGAAATAGTCTATGGTTTGTAATTCAAAACAGTAAACTCTCTAAGAAATCAGTGTGCTGATTACATCACCTGAGAGATGGGGATGGGGGGGATAAGGAATGACACCATATGACTCCATTAGAAAAGGGAAAGGACATTTGCTCTAGAAAGAGCTGGGCTGAGTTCTGAGAATCAAGAGAATAATACCAAGTAAATTCTAGATGGGGTGCCTCTGATAAAGTTGAAAACTACCACCACTACCCCCAGCCAAACCCCTTTACTTGGTATTACTTAATTTATTGATTAATACTTGGCATGTAACATCCTATTATTATAAATACTTTTATTTCCTTAACACAATGGGCTGTGTACTTTTTGCTGTAGTCCTAAATGTAACTGCATTGAGGATACTGTGCCTGCTACACAGTTCACAGGCCACCTGAAGGCAGTAACTAGAGGTAAGAACACAATCTGGAAGAGATGAGAAAGGCCCATTTGGGACTCAAATCCCTAGTTTTTTTTTTCCCCAACACAGATCAGATGACACCTTACCAATGGCCTTTTCCTAGATCTGCCCAAGTTAATTCTCTTTCCCCTTGCCTTACTGTATCCCCCTTCAGTAGAATGTATGCTCTTTGAAGGTAGGAGCCATTTCTATTTTTGCGTCTGTACTCCCAGAGACCTAGAAGTGTCTTGCAAACAGCAGGAGCTTAAAAAATGTTTGCTAAAAATTGAGTTGAATTTTCATACCCCCAACATCCCTGTGACCTTTCTGTGTGACTGATTTTCAAAGTCTCTTTAAGGTTGATTTCAGTAGGACAAGATATATTAGAAGGTCTGAAAAATGACTAAAGATTAACCTTAAAAGAGCAATCTTTTGAAATTTTCATGACGTTAAAATATTAACTAATATACACAGGAAATAAGAATTTGTACATCAAGTTCAAAATTTCAAGTTGTACAAATAAAATGGTTCTAAGCAATCTTTACCAAACTTAAAGAACAGAAAAGCTTACATTCCCATTATTGCTCATAATAAGGACTATCAACTTTAGAGCCAGAATATACAGAGAAAGCTGGGTGAATAACTGTATTCTCTTCTCAACATGAAAATATTGTACCCTAAATTACACCAGTTATTCAACTGGCCTAGTAAGCTTACAGAGGCAATCCCTCCTAAGGTCATATGTATTTTGGGGAATGCATAATTATTGCTTCTGGCTTTATGCTGACCCCCTTTCAGAACAGTCAAGTTCCTGTTTCATGGTTTAAAAATAAAAGCTCAAAATAGGATGAGTATCTGGGATGTAATTCTGAATAAAATGTCTATTACCATAAGTGCTCATCAACTGCTACCCCACAATCACAAGTACTCTGAAGGTCAAATTCAGTGCAAATAAATATCTTTCTTTTTCTTAAAAGATGCGGCAAGTGATTCTAACCTGACAAGTCTTCTCAACATCTTTCAGCGCTCACTATAAAACAGAAAATGCTAATATAAAATACCTATGGTAGGTATGGTTCTAGAAATGTTTAATTCATACTAACTTCTGAACTAAGACATCTCTGTGCTCCGTGCGTAGGATTATTCAAAAATTGCAGTAGAAGGAGTTTCTGTTCTTTGGGCGTATTTCTTTGAATTTAAGCCCTCATTTAGGTAACATATTTGTTTGCTATTGACTCACATTTGGCCAGAACTCAAATGTGTATGTAAATTGAAGGGGCTCTTTTCATAAAAGAGAGAAATCTTAGAATATCACTTACTTGAAATGTCCCTGAGCAGCTGCTGAACACAAGGGTGTGAAGCCATTTTTATCAGCAGTATTAACTTGTGCTTCTGCATTCAGCAGCAATCTCACACAGTCTAAGGATTTTAACAGAAAACCACTTTAATGCCTCTAAGTCAGCAGATAAAAAGAAAAACACCCCTCCCCCACCCCAAATGATATCCAAACTAAGGATATTTGCTAAAACCCACAGGGCCTGTGGATGAGCTGTTGGTCTGATAAACATGTCATGATGGATTTCTCATAACCTACTTAGCAGTAGTTTCCAGGGACACCCGAATTCTCTTTCCCAGTATGAGGACAGACTTGAGCATTAAATCAAAATGGGAGTATTCTGTTTAAATCTGAAACAATTCCCTCTGGTTTTAATTACTTTTCTTGAAGATTATGATGAAAGTTGAAAGTACTAAGGACTCAAAAAAAAATAAATAAAAAAGGCTCAACTAACAAGCCCTGCCTCGCCTTTCCCTACCTCCCACCCTCTATCTCGACATTATTTTCTTAGTTGCTTTGGGAAGGGCTAGGTATAGACAGCTGTCATCTAAACTGAAAAATCCTCCTTTCACATAGTGGTTTAGTAGATTTTATCACAATCACCTCACTGAAAACGTTTTAACGTGCACAACTAAACCTTTTCAATAAGTCTAAGAATTATGCATCATCTTGTATTATTGCGGCATTCCTTCAAGTATTTGACATTTATCTTGAAAACATTTGGAGTTGTTTCTTATTTTTGTTTATCTTATGTCTTATTTCCCTAGCAGACAGTGAGTTGCCTAGTCAGGGACCGGCTTCTTAAATTTCTAATTCTCTCAGTGCCCAGCACAGCACACTACACTACACAGAGTGAACATTTAATAAATACTTGTTGCCACACGTATATCCTATATCAAAGTACTTGCCTTCTCAAGGAGAGGCAAGAGGACATGGAGGGAGAGAACTGCGAACTCAAAAAATATAAAAAACAAATGTTAAAAAGTGGTTTTACATGTAATTGAAAAAAAATAAAAAACATTCTTTAAATAAATATTCGATTATTGTGTTGCAACAAAGTCCTAGGCACTGTTAAAGTAGTTCAACATGAGAAGCCGGTGTAATTTTATCAGTGGAAATGACGCTAAAGAAACATTAATATCTACTTTGCCACTGTACCCTAAGGACCCTGGAGCCTTTCCATCTGACTTGCAGCTGAAACCTTTTTTTCTGTGTTTTCTCCCTTAAGAACAGAGACTGTCTTGCTTTTCTACTTCCATCACTTGAGCTTAGTACAGTGCTTTGCACACTGTAAGTGCTTAATAAATGTTTTATTGGTTAATTTATTTTTAACAAGAAACAGTATAAGAGTGTACTCAGGATCACCTGGGTCAGGCACAACGAAAAAGTCAGGTGTCTCGCTCCTCTAGTCTAAAGCTCTGTTTAATAACAGTGCTCTTATTTATTCTGGGAAGTCTCTTGGACCAGTTCACGACACATAGATGAGCTCCAACAGTATCAGAAGCTGTTTCTTGGTTGAATGCTTTAAAGTACTGCGGGGGGGGGGGGAGCTTTAAAAAAAAAAACCCTCCCAGTTATCTGAATTATACTGTTATCATTTGAAGTGGATAGTTAATGCTAATTTATATATCCATGAATGCTGCATCAGTAGCCAAATACTGTTTTTCACCCCACACTAACACAGTATGTGTGACATACTTAACTATGGGATTCTTATTTTAAGAACAAAAATAATTCACAGATTTTATCACTATGCCATTTTAACTAATCATCACATTCAATCCTCTTAAAAAAATACCAAACAAACATCTAATTAACTATCCACTTTGCCACGCTGCTTTAAGACTCTAGACCTAGGACCTTTTCTAACTTTTAGAAATGATGTAATTGAATCAGAAGTTAGTGAGGGCCTAAAGCCTCTTCTTTTGCTTGCTATGTAGACTAAATTCTGGCTATTTATTCATGCTAAACCAAAGACATCCCAGATGGAATGATTTACTGAACTAGAAAGGCACTTTGCATTGACGAGGAACTAAAGTTAGTCATACAGAATTCACTGGTGTTGGGAATTAAGAGGACAAAACTTGTTTCTCATTAACTGACAAATCTCCTTATCAGGAAAGATATTTGGGGATATGTATGCATATGTATATACCACACATACATATGTATGTATATATAGATATTCAATTTGATTCTCTTCCACAGAATTTGTTACAAAGATCAAATATATAAATGGACACTAAACAACATGAAAGTAGTAAGGAAGTGCTCTTTTATATCTAAGTTGTTCCACTCCTTTGAGAGGCGAGTACCAGATGGAAGTATTGAGATAACGCATTCTTTACCTGTATGTCCATTCTTAGCAGCAGAATACAAGGCAGAAGAGCCATCTTCACAGGAGTAATTAATGTCCAGTCCTTCTTCATTAAGCAGCATTGATAATAAAGTGACATTTCCCTGGGCAGCAGCTTGCTGAAGAAGGGTGGACCTGCCAGCCAGGGAGGCAGGACCACCACTCATTAGCAAAGGGGTTAGGGAGGGTGACCAGCCTGTGAGTTAAAGTGACCCAAGTTAGATGGGGAGGTGAAAGAAAATGAATATTATCCTCCTCTCTTTTAATCACACACACATACACACACACACACACACACACACACACACACACACACGCATCCCCACAACATGGGGGTACACAATTTCTAACACTAATTGGTCTGTTAAGATTTAGTCTCTATTGTTATTTCACTCCTTTCTATCGGTCATTAATTTAATCTGCATACAGTGATGATAGGTTATTTTTAGTTAAGACAGTCTCTCAGTTTATTATCACAGGTTAATGTAATGAGCAATTTTAGAAAACATCACAGATGCTAATTCTAAAATTCCTTTTCCAAATTCCAGTGCTAATCAAATATGAAAAACAGAACATTTGTGTCTGTTCTATTTTTTTAATTCAAGATATTAAAATAGAGTGATATTGCAAATATCAAAATATAATTGTGATATGAAATGAAGGGCCTTTTTCCCCCTTTGCCTTAGCCCCTCACAATAATTGAGAAATGTGATTGTTATCCATGAAAAGGCAGCAAGCATGGCTTAGGACTTCAAATATATGCCTTTAAATTCTATGTTTGGAAGTAAGATCTAATTAAAGTAGGATATGATACCATAGCAATGATCGATGGAATATACACATGATCTACAACTTAATAGAACATACATTCACTATATCTCAAAAATATATGAAAAGAATTACTTTGTCAGCTGATCACTGTCTGGAAAAAGCTTAAGTCACCCAACAAAATAGGACAGAGTATAGAAAAGAATTTTAATAGAAATTTCAAGAGTTATCTTAGTTAGATAGTCTTTATCAGTATTTTGCAGCCTTAGAAATGAATCTGTTGACTGTGTGAAGCCTGCTATAAATGCTATGGAAAACTTTCTGAACTCTTCCTTGGTCAAAAGGCTGTAAAAAACAAAAAAAAAAAAAGAGAAAGTATAAATGCTTAATGTGAAACGTATTTATGAACTCTGTGCAAACTTCCAAATGAATAATTTTACAGTTACTCTCCTAGAAAACTCAATGAACCACACCCCTAACCAATGTGTGTGTGTTATTTTCATATGTATGACTGTGATACCCTGACAAAATATAAAATATTCGAGCAAATTTTATGCTTCCATTATATCAACACTAGGAGAATGGTATGCCTATGTATGCAGACATTATATCTATTTGGTTCTTACACTCGACTAGTTGATTTAACTAGCTTCCCACATGGAATTTTTTTTTAAAACATAGTTTCTATTTTCAAAATAAAATAGCAAAGCTGAAACTAAATTATTTTCCTAGCTAGTAAACACAAAGAAACAGAAGCTATATGTATAATTTCAGCGACTGTATTGCTTCAAATTAAAATCTGGGTATTAATTTAGGTACATTAATTATGTATGGCTTTAATCTTTACTAGATTACAGTGCCATACACAACCCATGAATTTATAAAATTAAATATCTATGAAAACACTATAGTCCTTTCTTCATATAAATACTTTTAACTATTTTGCCTCTCCAGAATTCTCCCCTTTTGGAGTTTATCTATTTATATATTTTTAAAACCACAAAATTAAATCAGGTAGAACTTTCACTGATTCACAAAGTTTGCAGAGATGAAAGTTACAAACTAGAGACATTAACTATGAAACAGGATACAAACAATAGCAGGAATACCTTGGCCCCCAAACCAGATTCCTTGGACTATCTCACTATAATCATCTTTAATAAACTGTAGAATTTGGTCCAAAAGAGCTTGGCCTCAATCCAAGGGGCTTTCGTTACTTAAGGCCTGTTATGAACCCGAAGGCTCCTCGAGAGCACCAACATTACTTGATTTGCCTTTTACTTTAAGGTTAAGTTTTTTTGAACTACAACAAAATAAACATTTTAACTACGGCCTTTTAATGTAAACTACTCTGAGCCTTTTAGTTGCGGTTTCCTGAGAATACAGTGCATTTCAAATGTAAGCATCAGAAAGATAAAAGGGTTTGGGTTGGTTTTTTTTTGTTTGTTTGTTTTAAGAAGCAGTGTTTTTTATGAGTCTTTGGATAAATGAACAGTCTCACAATTAGCAGCCAGGCAGGTTTGAAAGTTGAATATATTTTAATCATACTCTCTAATTTTTTTTTGAAGGTAGAAGCACATTTTTAAGACCTTTTTACAAAGTAATTAAAAATATCCAGGCTGACTATCATGTTTTAACATAAGGTGAAATGTCATACCTTTACTATTTTCTTTTGAGAAAAGTAGATAAATGTTTAAGTTATTTTATGAAACCCATTGAAACATAATAGATGGAACCCTTCTAAAGAATAAAGTAAAAAGACCACCACAGAAAGTTTATTTTTCATTTAAAATTCCTATACATTGATAAAAATGGTAGGCCTTCACTGACTTGCAAATAATATCTAGGAAATGACAGAACAGGACTGTGTTCATCCAGGATATTTTAGTAGTGTTAGGAAAGGTAAGTTTCATACTGGAAAGTTAGTAAACGTGAAGCCACTGTGAAAGCTTGCAAAGCATGCAATGAGGAAGGGCATGAGGACAGAAAACAGCTTCTGGCACCAGCTTCAGAATGTGGAGGTGGTTAATTTCATAGCCCACATCAATTCCCTTTTTTTTTTCTGATTTATTCCCTAAGCCAATCATATACAAATAATAGAGAAATTGTAATGAACTAAATCAAGATACAGAAGAATACCAAACAAAGAAAATGGAAAGAAAAAAAATGCCAAGGGTATGGAAATTCAGCTGCCTGGAGTAATTTCTATTTTAAACATTTGTTCATCTGTCAAATGAAACATGATTATTGGGGGGCCTGAACCATAAGGAAAATTTTCATTCTCCTCAGAAATGCTTCAACTACTTTCCCCCTGAGAATATTGCTAATAAAGAATTACATTAATTTGCAGTACGCTGTGGTCATTAAGAATGCTGTAGTTTTATTTCATCTGGCCATATGATAAATATGACTACACCCTATTGTAAAATGACCTTCTGAGGCTAAAAAATACTAATTAGGGTCAATATATAATGGAGTATAGTGGAATAGCTGTTCTCAGTAATGATCTCGTAAGCAGTATTTAGCAGGCTCATGACTGCCATTTGGGGAAGGGAGAGGGAAAAGGCAGAATGTTCCCTAGTTAAAACAGTAGGCTGGAGGAAAGTAGCCATGCTGCCTTGTTTCTTGGAGCGGTAAGAAAGGGACTGACCCTACTTGGGTAGTATGTGAGAAAATCTGGATTTTATACAGAAAATTTCAAGTAAGCCTACATGCAGGGATGATTTCTATCCTATAATGCATGGTGGCAAGGACAGTAATTCCCATCCTTTCAGAACTAAACACAACAAAAGACTGCCATTCTGTGCCTTGCAATCTTGTCCTTCGGGAATGCCAAAAAAAAAAAAAAGGAGGGCATCGATGGAGAAACTAGTTGGGCTAATCTTGAGCTGCTGCCACTGCTGCTACTTTGGCCCTCTCCTTTGTAAGTTCTGTTCTTAAGCTATAAGTGAGGTAGTTTTTCAAAGGATGGATAATTGAAGCACTGTAGGTGATATCTGCAGTCCGGTGCTGTATCCTATCATTTACAAAAGCCATTCTTAGAGCCTAATGACCACTTGGTGAAAGTCATCACTTTTAGACAACAAATACTCAAAGACTTACAGTTCTTGGGACCTGGCTAAAAAAACAGTTCTACATTGTGAGGTCAGATCACGGACCACTTGGGCACATCATTCCTAACCCCCAGAGCCACAGGAGTAACACTGGAGAGACCAGGCAAAAATACAAAATGTGACTAGAGCAACGGGACAATTTATACGGCACAGTGGAAAGAACCTTGGGTTTGATTCCAGGCTATGACACTTAATACCTGTGTGACCTTGGGGAGTCAGTTAACCACTAAAGACCCCATGTCCTTCCTGTAACATGTCATTGTTCGACTAGACGCCCCCTCTTTGGTACCTCCTAGCTCTAAAACTACGATGTTATGAAAATTAAACATATATGAGTATTATCCTTTAAAGTAGTAACCTTGGGATGCTAAGCAATTTTTCTAGGAGTAAGAGGTGCCATTTAAAAAGTATTATAAATGTAATTATCAACAAATACAAACATTTTAAATTACAAGGAACACAAAAGAGCAGTTATTTAGCCACTGGGCTAAATAGAATAGATATATAGGATCATAATTCCAAAGCTGGAAAGGATCCCAAGCCTTTTAGATCAACCCTGCTATTTTAGTAATCAACAAACTGAGGCCTAGGAAAGTAAAGATGACTTGCCTTAGGTCATATAGCTAATAACTGTCAGAGGAGGAATTTGAACCCAAGTCCTCTGAGTCTTACAACAGTGCTCTTTCCACTATATCACACTGCTTCTTAAGAAGTTATACACTTCTTCCAAAAATGCTACCTACCATTACTCCAAGTATTTTGAGAACGTCTCTTTGGAACCTGCCCCCACAGTCTTAGTAGCTTATTTTACATATCTCACTGGTGGCAAATTTTCATACTCAAGGTCCAGGGGAATGGGGTGGGAGGTGGGGGCGGGTTTAGATATTGGGAAACAGAAAAATGGCAACTAGAACCATGTTTGACACATACTATAAATCAATCCAGGCAATGTAGGCTGGGGCCAAAAATGGGACATGCTACCATAAAAAGAGACAGATTTTCTTTTGTGGATTATCACTAATTAGCAGACATTTTTTCCAAAGAGTCAATCCAAAAAGCACTGTGAACAATGACAACAATGTACAAATTCTGATACACTTTTTGAAATCACTATCTCATCACCATGCTGTTTCTTAAAAGATCAACATGGGACAGACAACACAGACCTAGAATGAGAAGGGCCTTGGAGAAAACTCAATCTAACTCTCTCATTTGACAGACTGGAAAACTGAGGCCCAGAGAGGTCACCTGATTTGCTCAAGGCCAAACAAACCCAGCTCGCAAGTGTCTGAGGAAAGATTTGAATGTAAGTCTCTCTGATTCCAAGGCCAGCACAGCATCTGGTTATCACCAGTCTTTCCCCCAAGTCCCCATAATAATCTATATTGAGTTTGGACGGGACTAGATAGAATCCTAACTTTCCTTCAACCCCACAAATTGCCCAGAAATGGTAACTTTCTTGATATATTCCAAAATATCAGGAAGTCCATCTGTGATGAATTATTAGGAAGGATGTAGCACCAAGTTAGATAAACAGCATTTGAAATAATCTAAACTTAAATCAAAGGTGTGTGAATATATTATACTTCCTTCTCAAAAAATATAAAAATTTCCAAAAAGAATAGTGAAACATAAATATTCCAAAACATAAATACTATCCCATAAATAAATAAGTTATGGAGAACTGGCCTCAGAGTCTGGGGGAAAAAATGGGTTTATACTCTGCCTTTAACACAAGCTTTGAGACAATCTCTTCACCTCTCATTTCCCACTGTGTAACTTTTTAATATTAGTACTTGTTGATCTGCGTTGGTAGAAGGAGTTTTCTAACCAAAAGTACCCTAGAACAATAAAATTAAAGGCTCAGACAAAAAAAAATAAATAAAGACAGAACCAGTCTGATTTCTAAACAAGTTTAGTTGATATTTTCTGGTTGGTAATACTGGAAAGTGCCATCATAATCCACTTTTAGAATTCAAAGACAATATTAATGTAAGGTATCCTACTAAAATTCAAGGCTTACAAAATAAATACATGTTAAGCAAAACTTTTCATCTTTCCTGCTTGTTTCAAATACCCAAAACAAGCATCTCTGTGTGCTCCAAACACTATTTTTAGATCTTTGTTTTTAAAAAACAGAAAGTTTATGAGAAAACTAGATATTATTTGGCAAGATGAATCACCATATCTTTGAACCTTCAAGAAATAAAAGAAATAAGAAAACATAAGAAAAAGAAAAGGAGGGAAAGAAAAAAAATCACAAATGTCAACTGAAATCAAAAAGGAAAGATTTCAAGACGTTGTAAAGAAAGCTGAAGCAACTGAGAGACCAGTTGTACAGGATAGAAAACATTCTCAGGAGAGGTTGCAACATTTCAATCCCTTTACCTGATGCTGTTACCAGGAGGCTGTCTGAGGCACATGGTCTACGGGATGAGGCACTAACGGGGTTTATGGAGGAGCTACAGGCAATGGTGGTGGGAATGACAAGGGGATGTTCTGAACATGCAGGTTGGCTCAGTCCAGGGGTTTCAGAAGGCCAGGCACCCACCTGAGAAGTGGCCATGGCTGAAATGGCACAGCCTGCAGGTGCCACAGTTAAATCTATGGTTGGTTTTGGTGGCAGCTGAGGGGAGGGTGACTTAGAGAGGTTTTCCTCATTGATTACCCTAATTCCTTGTGGTGAACTGGAAGGAGATGAAGCCGTGGTTTTGTTATCAACTTTGGCCCCTGAATTAGAGGATCTGCTGCTATCCATAATAACTTTGATCTGAGGGTGTGGTGGTGAAGGTGTCTGGGAGAGCCCTGGCTTTTTTGGAGGGATGGGAGGAGGATTTCCTCGGTCAACTCTTGGTACACTGGGAGTCTTTAAACTCATTCTACCAACAGGGGGACAGGTGCCAGCTTCTACTGGATGGGGTGCTCCAGGCCTCACCGGAGCCCCTGCTTGAGGGCTTGTAAATCTTGACAGTGCTTGGGTTACAGTATTCCGAGCTAGCTGTTTGGCTACTAGGTTGTCACGACTCGTGGGAGAGACATCTCTTGATGGAGGGCTTTGGGTAGTATTTCCATTTTGGTCCTGGTCATTGGCATTGCCCTGAAATCTAAATCTAGCTGCTTGGACACGTGGGTTTGGACCTGGATGCAAAGATGCATTGGCACATGGTGAATGTGAACTGTGCATAGATGAAGCTAGTGAATAGTTCTGAGAAGCTATGCTTGGTGCTGGAGAGGTGGGAGGGGCAGCATTACTGGGAAGGGGGGATGTGCTACTTGGTAAAACTGGTGTTGAGCCAGTACTTGGTCCATTTTCCTCCATTCTGTTTGGACTCGGAGGTGGGATAGTAGGTGTAGGGGGAGGAATCAAATCACTGTAGGAAGACTGCCTGTCAATAACTGGCTTTACAAAAGTGGCATTGGTGCAAACACTCCCTTTTGCACTGCCAGAAGCGAGGGGACTTGCTGTTGAAGGCTTTATGGGTACAGTCAAAGGCAACTTCTTAACATGGTCAGTACTATCCACTGTGTCGGTCTGGCAAGCAACCGACCTTGATGTAGATCCTTCCGTTCCCACAGATACAGAAACCAAACGTTTGTCTTTTGTCTTGCGGGGAAGAGAAAGGCTCGGTTTGCTATCATGCCCCCTCTTCAGTTGCTCAATCATTTTTTTCATCTTGTCTATCTCTTCTTTGAGGTCAGTAGTGTGCGCTTCCTCTCTGTTAAGCTTGGCCCGGAGTTGTTCCCTCTCTGTGTCAAATTCAGAGAGTTGTTTCTCCATCTGTGCTTCCATCTCAGCACTTCTTTGTTTCTCTGCAGAAAGTGCTTCCTCTAATTCGTTTGTCTTTTTCTTTTCCTCTTCAAGACTGGCCATGACTTCTTCCAGCTTCTGGGCTTCCTCGATGATTTTACCAGATAACTGTTTACACTCCTTGACCAGCATTAAGACGACATGCTTATTTTTGCCACGTTCATCCTCGAGGCGAGCAGATAACTTCTTGTGCTCCTGCTCCAGTGTCTGTAATTGCAGCTTTTCCATTTCCAGCTGAAAGAGAAGGAAAAAGTAGATTTTTAATTAAAGCATAGAAAATTACACAGCTGAATGTGTAGGAAGGACTATATAATTGTATATGAATAATTTTTTTACATGGTATGAGTGTTTTTGGTACACTGGAGGGTTTTTTTTTCTTCTTCTTTTTTGCTACTGGAGTAACTCCTGAAAAACCTACAAGATTAATTGGCAACTTCAAAGCAAAAAATGGAGGTCAGGAATGTATTTCTCATTCCTAACTTAAAAAGCAGCTATACGCAGAGGATTCTTCTGTCTTACCTTGACATATTTTATATTGTCTAGCTGATCACTTTAGGTTATGGAATAGTCTTAGTATAGGTGAAGGTTGATTTACTGTATTAGCATATTTCCATGCAAACAAACAACTGATTCAAAGGTAAACATTTTAAAGTAAAAATGATTGGACAGAGATAGAAAAAGGAGAGTTTCCCTGTTAACTACATGTCTATGCCCTAAGTGTTTTATGTGATGTTTATTTTCTAGCCAACTTTAGAGGAAAATGTTGGTTTGGAAAAGGGTGAACAATCTACTCAGCTGGCTCAGAGTATAGCCCTATGATTAACAGCAGCAAAAATAAAGAAGCTCTCATACTTCCATAGCACTTTAAAATTTACAATGCATTTTCTTCACAACATCTCTGCTAGGGAAGTGGCATGGATATTATTATCCCATTTTATGGATGAGGAAACATGCTCAGAAAGCCCTTAACTGACTCACACATCATCACATGGCAAGGAAATATAAAATCTGGGAAGAAAACCCACATCCTCTGAAATTGTGCATTCTTTCCACCGCACTACAAATCAGTCAGGTGTATGTTAGCTGACTGCTAATTCAACCATAAGGAGTATTGGATCTACTCAAAATGTAATAATTAATGGTTTCATGTCAAATTTTGGGGGGAGAAAAAAAGTCCTCAGTGGAATGCACCAGTAATCTATGTTTGGCCCTGTGTGGTTTTAAAAAATTTTTATCAATTACTTAGATAAAAACAAAGATGGCACATTTATCAAAAGTCTACACAACACAAAACTGGGAGGGCTAGCTAACACCCTGAAGGACAAAGCCTGGACACAAAATGATCACTGAGCTAGATCTTAGAGTTATATTGAACAGGGACAAATATAAGGTCTTGAATTAAAATGAAGCATAACATGAGTTTTAAAAATTAACTAAAGTTATATAAGATGGGGGAGATATGGCTTGATAGGTTTGTCTGAAAAACAGAAAAGAATTGGGGGAGGTGAGGAAGGGGACAAGATTACTGAATTGTATATTCAGTATGTTTTAACTTTGTGACAGTCAAAGGAGCCAATGTGTTCTTGGGCTTAGAGTCAATCTGATCAATTCAATTCACCCCCAATAAGCTCCTATTTGTTGTTATTCACTTGTTATTCAGTTGTGTCTGACTCTTTGTGACCCCATTTGGGGTTTTCTTGGCAAGAATAATGAAGTGGTTTCTCATTTCCTTCTCCAGCTCATTTTACAGATGAGGAAACTGAGGCAAACAGGGTTAAGTGAATTGCCCATGGGTCACATAGCTACTAAGTGTCTCAGGCCAGATTTGAATTCAGAAAGATGAGTCTTCCTGACTCCAGGCTTAGCACTCTACCCACCGAGCCACCTGGCAGTCCCCAATTACAAGCTACAGGTAAGAATAATCTTCCTAATCCTTTCAGAAAGAAAAAAAAAGGCAGAAATTGCCCAGTACACTGAAAGGAGACATTTAACTCATGGAAAAGTATTTCTACAGTACATGTAGAGAATGAAGCACATATTTTTTTCTTTAAAGGATGCTATAAATCTATTTGTTTATTTTTACATGGACAAACTGTCTTTGATTTATTTGAAGATGATGATAATAACAACCGTAGTCATAGCTAGAATTTATGTAGAACTTTAAGGTTTACAAAACACATTACAAATATCATCTCATTTTATCCTCACAAAAACCCTGGGAGGTAGGTGCTATTGTGTTTTTTTCCCCCTTAATAGCATTTTTTTCACAATTACACATGAAGATAGTTTTCTACATTCATTTTTGTAAAGTTCTGAGTTCCAAATTTTTCTCCCTCCTTCCCTGCAGTATGCTTTGATTGGTGTTCATACTCCACAGTTCTTTCTCTGGATGTGGTTAGCATTTTCCATCACCAGTCTTTTGCAATTATCTTGAATCACTATATCACTGAGAAAAGCTAAGTTTGTTATAGTTAATCATAACACAATGTTGCTGCTGCTGTATACAAGGTTCTCCTGGTTCTGCTCACTTCATTCAACATCAGTTCATGTAAGTCTTTCCAGGTTTTTCTGAAATCTGCCTGCTCATTTCTTATAGCACAATAGCATTCCATTACATGCATATACCACAACATGTTCAGCCATTCCCAACTGATGGACATCCCCTCAATTTCCAATTCTTTACCACCACAAAAAGAGCTGCTATGAATATCTTTGCACAGGTGGGTCCCTTTCCCTTCTTTACAATCTTTTTGGGATACAGACCTAGTAGTGGTATTGCTGGATCAAAGAATATGTATAGTTTTATAGCCCTGTGGGTATAGTTCCAAATTGTCCTCCAGAATGGTTGGATCAGTTCACAACTCCACCAACAATGCATTAGTGTTCCAATTTTTCCACATCTTCTCCAACATTTATGATTTTTCCTTTTCTGTCATATTAGACAATCTGATAGGTGTAAGGTGGTACGTCAGAGCTGTTTTAATTTACATTTCTCTAATCAATAGTGATTTAGAGCATTTTTATATGACTATATATAGTTTTAACTACATCTGAAAACTGCCTATTCATAACCTTTGACCATTTATTGAATGGGGAATGACTTGTATTCTTGTAAATTTGACTCAGTTTTCTATATATCTCAGAAATGAAGCTTTTATCAGACACACTGGCTGTAAAAATTGTTTCCCAGCTTTATGCATTCCAAAGTACATATTTTTAAATTGTTGCATAAAAAGCAGCATTCTTATCTGGAAACTAATTGGAAGTAGGAGGGAAGGGAGACACAAAAGCAGACAGTATACTTGTAGGACAGAGATTTTTACTACAAGTGCTAATAATCAATTTTGCCTATTTAATTTTGACACAATAGCTAATTTCCTGTATGTTTGTCTACCATAGTGCTTTGTACATATTAGACCTTTAACACAGTCTCCAATATCACTATTTCTAGAACTGTTTTCAGATGTACATCTACTTCTCTTTCTTGAAAGCTAGAAGTCACCATTTTAAGGTACTTTTTATATAGGGTCTAATTAATAGAGGCCAATTTTCTTGCTAAAGGCTGTTTAAGGAGATGATCCCTCAAAATGCACCTTAGGACAGTTTTTTAATATATTTTAACTTTTCTAAGATTCCAATGGTTAATTTGATTGTAGAGAAATGAAAGAGTCACGTAGCATGGAGCAAACATTTAAAGGAACAGCTTGGTTTCTTAAGTAGAAAGAACTATGTATTATTCATGTATTCTTTTCACTTTTTTCTAGCATTAAGGTTACAGAACAATATAAGAAAAAGACAAAGTTGGGAGACAGCAGACCAGAGCTCTAGTCTTGGTTCTAACATTAATTAGCTATACAAATCAGACAAATGAATTCACTCCTTTGGGCTTTGGTTCCCTCTTCTGTAAAATGATGAGGTTGGCCTAGATAATCAATAAAGTTTCTTCCAATTCTCAAAGCCCACAACCAGATGACTGCTAAGATCCCTTCTACCTCTGACATTCAATGATTTCAAAAACTATCATTTCATCTTTCCTAGAAATAATCAACCAGCATTCAAGTCAATCAACGCGTATTTAAGTGTCTACTATGTGTAAAGCACCCTGCTGGCACTGAGGATACCAAAATCAAAACACCATACAGTTCCTACCTCTAAGTAACTTGAATCAAGGCGTAGGGGATGGAAAAGAGGGCCCAGAGAGAACAAGTGGTAGGACATAGGGACAAATAACTAAATAAAAATAAGGAGCATAAGAGGCAAAAGCTCAAAGTGCTCTCTTTTCACAATTGTCATGAACACAATTCTTTGTTGTACTGTTCAGGTGAAATATTAGGAGGCTATCTACATTTGGTTTAGATCAAATGATTTTAGTGTTATGTTTGTATACACCTTCTGAACAATGTTTAAAAGGAATATTTTCTCCACTCATTCAATACCTGTTTCCTCATCTTAAGTCAGGGGATTTCTTTTCAATTCAGCAAGCATGAGTGATGATGACGACGATGATGAAATTGATGTTAACAACTAGCACTTACAGAGTATTTGCAAAATGCTTCATAAATATTATGTCACTCGACCCTCATAACAACCCTGAAGGCAGATGCTATTATTACTATCTTCATTTTACAGATGACGTAACCGAGGCAGAGTTTTTTTAAGTGACTTGCCATTGGTGACACAGCTAGTAATTCTGAGAACAGATCTGAACTCACGTCTTCTTTCTTCCAATGTTAGTAGTCTATCCACTAATTAGGCCAGTAGTTCATCCACTAGTCACCATATGCAAAGTGAAAGGCAGTATAGCATAACAGAAAGATAGCCACAGAAAGGTTCCACAGATCTGGGTTCAAATTCCACTTTTGCTTTCTACTGGGTGTGCAATCCTGGGAAAGTCATTTAACTTTTTTCAATGCCCAGGTAACCCACTAGGACTTTTAAGTTATGGAGAAGGTGCAGATTTGTATTGGTAGAGAGAATTATTCATCAGGCACTCTCTACACTGGTTTAATCACGGGACCAGTTTTTTTTAAATGTGCAAAGCACTTTTGGCACTGGGTATACACAAATACAAAAATGAACAACAATACTGGGATAAAGTGATGAATAAAACATGGTCAGTGTCCTCCAGGGGTATTAAAATCTAGCTGAAGGAATGAAACATATACTCTCATACAGAATGAGGCAGTACAATGTGGTATGTGAGTGACAGAGTTCAGTGCTACATTTGAGAGAGA